AGCAAAAACGGCAAACACAACCTTCGAGCATTGACATCTTCGGCCCCAAAACTCCACAGCCCCCAAACCCCAAACGCCCTTACAGATCCCCTTATAGAACTCTTTAAAATCCGTTGAAGGAACACTTCAGAGACTTCAATATCCCTTAAATCAGGAATACACCTCAAATTATAGCTGGGTTGTTGGTTTCACGCATATTCCTTGATTAAGGGATATGGGAGTCACTGGGCCTAAGCGCCCCTAAACCCCTAAACCCCAAAACCCCAAAACCCCAAACCCCTAATCGATCCCCTTATAGGACCCGTAAGTATACCCTATTTTTTGTAGGTTCCTATTATAAACCCTAATATGGAATTTAGAGGGACCCTACACAAACAGTAGGTTTTGGTAGGTTCAGGTAGTACTATAGTTCCCCTTAACCCAGACCCCCCAGAGGATCTAAAACATAGATCCCCTAATTAGGGGCCCTAACTACTAAAGGGTACTTTATAGGAACCCCCTTAGGGGATCGATTTTTTAGATTTTTTGGGGGTCTGGGAAAAGGAGCCCTAAGCGCACCGGTTCAGGTAGTATTATAGTTCCCCCTAAACCCTAAACCCTAAATCCTAAACCCTAAACCCTAAACCCTAAACCCTAAACCCTAAACCAAAACCCTAAACCCTAAACCCTAAACCATTATAGTTCCCCTTAGAAGGAGCCCTAAGCGCCCCTAAGCCCTTTCGGGTCCTAGGATCCTGACGCTCGGCGCTGGGGGCGGAGTTCCGCTTCTTCCCGAGCCGTTGCCGGTGAAGCCGCCCGGCTGAGTACCCAGACCCCCAAAAGGATCTAACAAATAGATCCCCGAAGGGGGGTTCCTATAAAGTACCCTTTAGTAGTTAGGGTCCCTAATTAGGGGATCTATTTTTTAGATCCTTTGGGCTTACTTGGAGGTTCATGGGTAGTTGTAAGTGGGGTTATAAGTAGGGCAACTATAACTATAACCCATATTAGGGGACTTATAACCCTACTTAGAACTACCCAGGAACCTCCAAGTAGGTAACCTTTAACCTGTTGGGGCTTATATGATCCTACTATAGTTCGAAAGGTTTACCTTTTGTGGGCTAGGGTACTCAGCCTTTAAGTAAAAGGCAAAAGGAATCAGTTGTAAGGGTTACTATTACTAGAGGGTTGACTACAAGGGTTTAGGGTTTAAGGGTTTGGCGGTTTAGGGTGGCTTGGGATTTGGAGTTTCGGGTTTGGGGTTTACGGTACAGCGGCAGGTCACGGTTTGGGGTTTAGGGTTTAGGGTTTAGAGGCATTGTCAGTGTTGAACTGGTTCGGGAGTGGCCACATGCCGGCAAGTACGACTCCGAATTGGCTCCGCTGCTCAATGTGGCTTATGGCAGGTTTGAAGATTGGAAGAGGAGGTGTCGCTTGCAATGTACTCAAGCGAGGTTTACACCTGCTCGGCTGAACAGAACGAAGAAGTTGCAATTCCCAAGTTTGTCTGGCAAAGCAGTGGCACAGAAGGTCATCAGCTTTTAGTTGGCTGAAGAGACAGCTTCTTTTGCAAAGCGAGCAAGCAAGTCAGAACAGGACGAGCAGCTGGCTGCTTGCATGTACATGTATATTCGTGTCTTGCGGTTCCTGGATGAGTTTGGCCTGCTCTTGTCAGCTCAGCAGGCTGTTGACTTCTACAATGCAGGCATGTCACACTTACGCATTTATGCCATGCTGCACACTCAGACGTCGTTCCTGTTCCAGCTGCTGCCCAAGCATCATTACTTTCAACACATGGTTGAAGATGCTTCAAAACACCGAGTCAATGCTGGCATATACACATTGCTGGCGGCCGAATCGCTTGTCGGCCAGATCGGCCGAATAAGCAGGAAATGCCACAAGGCAACTGTGTCCTTGAGGACTGCAAGATCTCTACCAGGCTATCAGGTTTCATGAGGTTGCAGAACCCTAAACCCTGAATATAGAAGCCAAAATAATTGCCCATATTATTATTTTGGGGTTCCTTATTATAGTTATAGTAAAACATACCTCAAAACCCTATTCTAATTATTAAGGCCACTAATATAGAACCCTATCATTATATAGATGCCTTGTAGAACCCTTAAGGGATCCCATTAAAGGAACTTCAAAACCTTATTCTAATTGATAAGGCACCTACGTTAATTAACCCTGAAGCCTTCCCAGCCTCCATCAGATGGGCGGAAAGCCCTGAGCCCTAACCCAAAGTCCTGCACTTTTAGGCTTTAGGGTTTAGGGGTTAGGGTTTGGGGGTTTAGGGTTCAGGGTTTAGGGTTTAGGGCATAAGCCCTTGATTAAACACCTATTTAACAATTATTTCAAAACACGAAGGCGCTTTTCCAGCCCTCGTTCGCCAGGTTCGGGGCTCGCGTGGTGGCTGTGACGGCGGTCGAGGCAGTGGAGGGAATCTTCCGGATGGTCGGGTTGCAAACTTGGAGGTTCATGGCTAGTTACAAGTGGGGTTATGGGGTTCCTTTCAGGGTTCCTTTGAAGGGTTCTATAGGGTTTAGGGTTTCGGTGTAGTTATAAGTGGGGTTATAAGCAGGGTAACTATAATTATAACCCTAATCCGGGGACTTATAACCCCACTTATAGCTACCCATGAGCCTCCAAGTAGTCTAGGGTTTAGGCTGTAGGGTAGGGCTTTTGACCCAAAAACCTAAACCCTTCACCCTTAATTCTTAACCCTAAACCCGAAACGCTATTAATATAGGCGCATTAAAAAGCTAGAAGAGGGTTTTGAGGTTTGTTTTACTATACTTATACTAAGGAACCCCCGAAACCCTATTCTAATTATTAAGGCCCCTACAGTATGCCTTTCGAGTTTTGGCGCGTGGTTTTTCGTCTAATATAGGGGCCGTCATACTTCCCAATACTATTTTGGGGGCTCCTTATTGCAATATTACAGTATAATATACCCCAAAGCCCCTATTCTAATTATTAAGGCCCCTACGTTATCCAAAGCCATCTTTGTTGTCTGGAAGGCTGGCACCTAAGTGCTAACTTGGGGTAGAAATGGGTATTCCATACTCTAGGCCCAAAACCCTAAACACCTGGGTCGGCATCTCTTGTCTTAAGAGCCAGCAATTGATTCAATCCGGGCTTCGGGCTCCACGTCTTTCAGCATCCAGTTTTCGGATCGAACGGGACGTGTCTTCCCTACGCTCGCGAGGCTTCGCCTATCTTGCTTCTGAAACCCTAAGCCCTAAGCCCTAGACCCCAAGCCCTAAGCCCTAAACCCTAAACCCAAAGCCCTAAACCCTAAACCCAAAGCCCTAAACCCTAAGCCCTAAAAGCCCCGGAGCCCTGAGCCCTGAGAACTCAACGCAAGCCCCCGGCTCAAAACAACCAGAGGCCCCAGGGCTGAAATCCCACATGATCCCACGATTTAGGGGTTTGGGCTTAGGTGTTTAAGGCTTGGGGTCCGGGATTTGGGGGTTAGGGTTTAGGGTTTAGGGCTTGGGGTTTGTTTCAAGAGTTTAGGAAGATATCTGCGAGGCGTTCCGCACGAGCTGCATGGACATGCTTCTGACAGCGAATTCCGCCGCTCGGCGTTCGATTGTCTTCTTTTCTGGAGATGCTAGCATAGGGGCTTGAAAAACTAGTAGTGTCTGCTTGTAGTCCCCAGTTAAATTTACTCAAGATACGCCAACAAAAAGAGATAAGACACCCCCAAACTAAAACAGACTTGCGCAAAAAGATACACCCAAAACAACCCAGACCCCCAAAAGGATCTTAAAAAATAGATCCCCTAATTAGGGACCCTAACTACTAAAGGGTACTTTATAGGAACCCCCTTATAAGGGGATCCATTTTTTAGATCCTTTTGGGGGTCTGGGAAGAGGCTGTAGCATTTGAGCTTCAGGTTGGTCTCGGGACTCATGACCCTAAACCCTAAACCCTAAACCCTAAACCGTAAACCTCACTTTTCATTGGCCTAGCGTTTTGGCGGTTCAGGCTTGGGGCCTGGGGTTCCCTTTGGGTTTCCTACAAGGGTTACTGTAAGTGTCACTATAACTTAGGAGCCCTATAGGTAAACTTTTAACTTTTTGGTATATTACACCCCTACTAAAAGAAAAGTTTAAACTTTTTTGGGCCAGGCTATTGGGCTTGAAGGATAAGAGTTCAGAATTTCCCACTGACCCTTGGGATTTAATTGGTACGGAAGCCAGAACACTTCGTAAAAGCTCTTCCGTAGGGCCCCGTTTTTTGTGATTATAGTCCGTACATCCTAAGCCCTAAACCCTAAATCCTAAGCCCTAAACCCCCGAAACCCCAAGCCCTAAACCCTAAACCCTAAGCCCTAAACCCTAAACCCTAAGCCCCTAAAAACCCAAAGCCCTAAACCCTAAACCCCCTAAACCCAAAGCCCTAAACCCATAACCCTAAACCCTAAACCAGGTATAATACAATGTATTCCAAGGCCCTAGTCTGACTATCAAGGCATTTTGGTGTTGGGTTTAGGGTTTAGGGTTTTAGGGTTTAGGGTTGAGGGGTTTAGGGTTTAGGGGTTTAGGGTTTAGGGTCTAGGGGTTTAGGGTTTAGGGCTTAGCACGGAAGTCAGTCCGAGGTAAAGTCAATGCCATCCTGGTATCGCCGTTACCTGATCTTGGAGAAGCAGGCGGCACGTCTGAGCGAAAACCCATTCGGCTTGCTGAAGAGGTTTGAGAGTTTAGGATCATCCCTAAACCCTGAACCCTGAACATGTGAGAGGGACTCGTGGATTCAAGGATTTAGGGTTTACTTGGAGGTTCATGGGTAGTTATAAGTAGGGTTATAAGACCCCTAATATGGGTTATAACTATAGTTACCCTCCTTACAACCCCACTTCTAACTACCCCCTAAACCCTAAACCCTATAGAACCCTTTAAAGGAACCCTTAAAGGAACCCCATAACCCCACTTGTAACTAGCCATGAACCTCCAAGTAGATGCAGGCAGGGTCTTGGGGCTTTTTGGATCAAGACTGCCGGGAGTGAGAATTGAAATTGAAATGCAGGGGGCGCTTCATTCTTCGCCAATCGGTTTAGGGTTTAGGGGTTTAGGGTTTAGGGGTTTAGGGTTTAGCGGTTTAGGGTTTAGGGTTTTAGGGTTTAGGGTTCAGGGTTAAGGGCGCTTCATTCTTCGCCAATCCGGGAATCCTCCCCGAAGGACGCTGCTGGACCATTGCAGCTAAACTTCAATTCTTGAATCCGACAATCGTTATAACCCCAAACCCTGGAATCTGAAACCCGAAAAATCCCGAAACCATCCTTCGCCCAAAAGCATCAGAGAAAACAAAGCAAGTCCGAAACCCACTGAGCCCAAAACCCCTTGGAGGTTCATGGGTAGTTCTAAGTGGGGTTATAAGTCCCCTAATATGGGTTATAACTAGAGTTACCCTACTTACAACCCCACTTAGAACTACCCATGAACCTCCAAGTAAACTCGACATTCCAAGGTCACGGAGCAGCTGGGGACGAAGCTTATCCGGTCCAAGGCTGTGATTGATATGGTCAGCCTCCACAAGGACTTTGGGTTTAGGGCTTTGGGTTTAGGGTTTAGGGGTTAGGTTTAGGGGTTTAGGTTTAGGGTTCGGGTTCAGGTTTAGGGCTTGGGTTTTGGGCTTTCGGGTTTGGTGTTTTGACGTAGTACAACCTAAAACCCGGGCCCCAAACCCTAAACCCTGAGACCCCAAACCCTCAACTGACACGTGTGTACCTCAGGGTTTCACGGGTGCTCTGGTTTTTGGGGCGTAACGGTCCTAGCGGCTTTGGTCTTGGGGCGTGGGGCTCGGGCATGCTTTGCCTTTCCCAGAGAGCCCAGATACCCCTTAATTGAGGTACATACCTTAAGTTATAGGTGCCTTAATATTCTGGGTTTAAGCTATATTCCTTATGGCTTAAGGTATATTTCTTAAAAAAGTGGAAGATACCTTAGATTGTCGGTGCCTTAATATTATGGGTTTAGGCTATATTCCTTGTTTAATTAAGGGACATACCTGAAATTATGGGTGCCTTAAGATTATGGGTTTAGGCTATATTCCTTGTTAAGGGACATACCTTAAATTAGGTGCCTTAATGTTATGGGTTTAGGCTATATTCCTTAGTTAAGGGGTATTGGGCTCTCTGGGTTACTCTTGAAATCAAGGTTTAAGCTCTCGGATCTCAAGGTCTCGGGTCTAAGTCAGGTTAAAGGTTAGGGTTTTGGGTTCAGGATGTTCATGTTTACGGCTTTAGGGTTTAGGACTTTCATGTTTAGGGCTTTAGGGTTTAGGATTTAATGTTTAGGGCTTTAGGGTTTAGGATTTAATGTTTAGGGCTTTAGGGTTTAGGATTTAACGTTTCGGGGGTTTGGGTTTGGGGTTTTTGGGTCTAGGGTTT